TAGGGTTCGAGGGTTTAGGGTTTATAGGGTTTATAGGGTTTATAGGGTTTATAGGGTTTATAGGGTTTATAGGGTTTATAGGGTTTGAGGGTTTATAGGATTAAGGGTTTATGGTTTGGGTGCCAACCGACAGCCACTGCTGGGTGACACTTGTCGCTTGTGGGTTTTTGCCTTTGATCTTCTCCGGGAATTCACGAGCGAAAAGGCTATGGGGTTTAATATAGGGGCCTTAATAATTACCTGTAGTAGTTTGGGTTTTCTGGTATAACTATAGTATAATGGGCCCCAAAATCCAACTCTAATTTTGAAGGCCCCTACAGAAGCGGTTTACCGGGTTTTCCCTGAAGCCGAAGAACTGGAGCCTGGAAGAACTGACGCCTAAAGCCCCAAGGTGGCCAGCAAGGCAAAAGAGCAGGACTGCACCGCAATTCCTTGCACCCGGCACTCTGCCGTCTTCACGCCCCGAACTCCTCAGCACTTTATCAACTCTCCAGCTGAGCACTATTCTGAAAGCTTAAGTTTTTGTGCCCTTGTGTACTGACGGAGGATGTAGGCAACGCCTCTCCCAGCCAAATTCCCGGCTGCGCGGATACGTGCATGCAGGCCGACATTGGGACGTCTGCAGGGCTCCTGGCGAAGATGTGCCGCCAGCAGGGCATCCAGTGAGTAGTGAGTAGTGTTTAGGGTTTTTTTGTTTGCGGCTGTTAAGATGTAGGATTCGGGGTGCGGTGTGCCGCCACAAAGCTTGGCGGGGCGTGCACTCTGCAGGGTCTCACCGACAAAGTGAAATAGGATTTCATGGAGAAGGCCTGCGTGCTCGATTGACGGACCAAAAATGACGGATCTTCAGCCTGAGCGCTAAACTCTCACCTCCTCACGCGCAAGAGTCGGAATCCCTCAAGCTAGCTATTGTTTTGCCGGGCTCCTTCTGGGCAGCACGAGGGGTCCGAGGATATCGAAGCATGCTTCCCCGGAGGGTGTGCGGCACCAAGGAGTGAAAGGTGCAGCAGAGAGAGTAAGAACAGTAGAGATGGAGAAGGCAGAGAGGACTTCACTTGATTGCAGAGTCAGTTCGAACTGCAAGTTGTAGAATGCTCCAGGACTGTCTGCGGCAGAAGAAGGAGGGGCGCACACTCATCCTGACGCTTAGCTGACAAGTGTGTGGAGCTGCGACTGTACATGTACAGCCAATGAACTTCTCTTGCTGTGAAGTGGTTCATCTCGAAGCGTCGATCTCTTCAGTTCCGCCTTAAACGGAAGTCTAAACTGGAAAAAGAATGGTTCTCAAGAGCGGTTGTTCATCTGCAACAATAAGAGATGTAGCCACCACTGCCCAGGACCACGCACTTTATGGACGAGGCCGCCTCCGCAATCGCAAGACTGTGCCTGAAGCCTTGAAGCCTAAGCCTTGAACCGTGAACCCGAAAGCTTAAACCTCGAACCCTGAACCCTAAACCCTAAACCCTAAACCCTAAACCCTAAACCCTAAACCCTAAACCCTAAACCCTAAACCCTAAACCCTAAACCCTAAACCCTAAGCCTTGAACCCAAAATCCGAAGCCTTAAACCTGAAAGCCTGGACCTCAAAGCCCTAGAGCTGTCCCGAGTTTTGAAGCCCCGTCATCTTCACGCAGCTTTCAGATAGAAGCCTGAATGCTGAGTAACTGGGGTTTGGGGTTTAGGGTATATAGTATTATATACTATAAGTATGGGCAGAACTCAACCAAAGTAATACATGATCTGCTAAGCCCTGCCAATAACCCTAAAGGGCCCAAAGCTTTCAAGAACCGCTTAGGACTCTGCTTAGCAACCCTAAGACTGTACGTGCTAGGCAGAGACGCTTGGTGACCGCATCGCCATCATGGCTGCCTTGCCCCTAGCGGGTCTGGAGCTGTTAGACGGTAAGACCTACTAGTAAGTAGTTATTTTAGAGACGTATCATAACCCCAATTGGGATCCCCTAAGGGTACTTACAACTCCACCTGCTTACCTACTTACTAAGTCCCCCACCCTCCAAGTAGTCGAGCCTATGGCTTTGGCGTAGCCTCGGGCCCTCACAGTCCGTTAAAGGTTTAGGGGTTCACGGGTAGTGCTTCGGGTCGAAGTCGAGGTACTAGTAGGAGCCTGCCGCCAGCCACCACTAAAATGATTCACTAATTCTCCGTTGCAGCTTTTCGAGAGATGGTCACATTCTCTCTCTCTCTCTCTCTTTCTCGCTCTCTCTCTGTCTCTCTCCGAATTTCCTCTCTCCCCCCATCTATCTCCTCTCTCTCTGCTGTTTCTGTCTCCTTTCTCTCTCCTCTCCTCTCCCTTGTTTGCAAGATGCGCATCAGCAACGCCTTTGTCCATAAACCAGGCCTCCGCTCCGTGAGACACAGTCAACCCTAAACCCTAAAGGCCTAAAGCGCCAAAACCCGAATCCATAAGCCCCTAAGCCGTACAAAAGCCCCTCTGCCCTGAACCATAAGCCCCCTAAGCCCTAAACCATAAGCCCCCTAAGCCCTAAAGCCCCCAAACCCCCAAGACCCCCTACACCTCCAGGCCGGTAAGGTGAAGTGCGTGGGCTCCGCTCTCTTCCTGAAGTCCCAGCGCTGGCCTTGGCAGGGTGTAGGGTTTAAGGGTTTAGGGGTGTAGGGTTTAAGGGTTTAGGGCATTAGGGTTTAGGCTTTAGGGTTTTCGGGATGCTGGAGAGAACGTTTTTTCTTCGGATTTCAATTTTGATTTTAAATGTGTTTTGGGGTTTTAGGGTTTTCAGGACTCTTACGGTTTCTAGGGCTTGTAAGAGTCTTCAGGGTTTAGGGCTTAGGGTTGAGAGGAAGGGTCAATCCCCTTGCAGCACTCTGTCCCCCAACGCGAAAATATTACAGCCCTGTTATACTTGCTTTTGAAGCATGTTCCTTATATAAGGGGTTATGGAGTCTCTGGGTTCGTGGCTTCATAAAAACAGACACTACTACGACACGCGGCAGGTATTTCTAGCCATCAAATCCTGAACCCTGATGCAGAAACATGAGCCCTGGACCAAAGCCTCAGCCCCACATTAGAGAGCTTAAAGTCACCTTTAACCCTATTCCACAAAATCAAGGCCTCTATATTACCTACCGGGACGTCCGAATCCAGAGGTATGGCGTGGGCTACACGCTCACCATTGCGAAGTCTCCCCAGCAATCTGCTCTTCGACCGAATTTCAGGGTTTAGGGTTGAGGGGGTTTGTAGGATTAGGCTTTAGGGCTATGAGGGTTCAGGGTTTAGGATAGGAGGATTAGGAATGTTGGAGCTTAACAGAAAAGAATAGACGAGACCAGCACTGAGTAGAACAGAACAGCGTAGAATAGAATAATTAGCTTGTAGCAGGCCCTCAACCCTAAACCCCTCAACCCTGAACCCCTCAAACCCTAAAGCCTAAAATCCCGAACCCTAAACCCTAAACCCAAAAATCCTAAAACCCTAAAACCCTAAAAACCCTAAACCCCAATGAGGCCGAGCAGAGTCGAGCACTGGACTTGCTGATCCACTCGCACTGTACCCGAGCCGAGCTCCTCAGCGACGTGGGTGCGCCGGCAAAGGGGAGGGGGTTCCCTTAAAGGGATCTATAAGGTTCCTTTAAGGGGATCTATTAAGGGTTCCTTCAAAGGGATCTACAAGGGTTCCTCTAAGGGATCTATAATGGGGTTTAGGGGTTCCGTGTTTGGGGTTTCAGGGTTTAGGGTTCCAGAGTCCAGGATAGAAGTGTTTGAGGTGTCAGGGCTCGGGTGTGCTAGCGTTGAGGGAACCGGGGTTCAGGCTTTCAGGTTTAGGGTTAGGGGTTTAGGGGTTTAGGGGTTTAGGGGTTTAGGGGTTCAGGCTTTGGGGTTCCAGTTTCAGGTCTCAGGGAGAAGGGCCTTCGGTTGGGACTTCTGCTTGCCAGTGCAGAGACTCCAAAACCCCTGAACTAAGGAATATATTGAATATACTTTAAATCCTAATAGGATCCTTAATCGAAATTTGAAGGAATCTTGCCTAAGTTCCCTTGTAGAGCCCTCATGGACCCGTTTAAGGAACCCTAAGGTTAGCTCCTTGATTAACGGGTTTTGGTCGCTAAGGGAGTCTTGATTAATGCAAGAGGTCGTGGCAGTTTTCTGCCTGGGGTTATGAACACACGGACCTCGACAGATGATTTGGTTTTGTTTGGATGATGTGTGAGTTTCAGTATGCATGTATGTATGTGTGTATGTATGTGCATATGTACGTATGTCTAAATACATATAACTACATACAACTGCAGAAAACCGTATAAGTCTGCTCTGAACTATATAGAACTAGATGGTTCGATGTGGAGCTTTACAGAACTGTATGGAACTATATATTGCTATGGATGACCGTAATAGTTAAAACAGGGTTTTAGGGTATATTATTGATTGGGTACTGCCCCCACTCTGCAACGGTTGGATAATGTTCATAGTCTAGTTATATCGAGCCCGCATCATGACGCCTAAGATAGACTGTTGCAGGGTGGGTGCACTACCCAATACATAGAAGTATAAAGAGCCTGAGAGAACTAAATAGAACACATAGAAGCATATGTGGCCACATTTGGTAGAAGTAGGGGACCCTAATATAGCACCCTAAATAGTATGACCCCATATCATGAGGATCCCAAGATACGGTACCCCTAATTTTCGGAAACTCCCATATATGGCGCATTTTGTAGAAGTATGGTTTACTGTGGTCTGTTCCCAGAGAACCCAATATCCCTTACTGAAGGAATATGCCTTGCATCATATTAGGGATCATACTATATTTTAAGGCATATTCCTTAATTAAGGGGTATTGGGATCTCTGTTGATATAAGAAGGAGATCTTCACGCAGAACCCGCCTTCGCCGGGCCACCAGTCTCACAGCGTTGGCTTAGGGCTGAGGGTTTCGTGTTTAGGGCTTAGGGCTTAGGGTTTCGGAAGTTCAGCATGACAGGTTTTTGCAAGAATCCCTGTGGCATCTCCCGTTTCTGGTGATAGACGCCATGGTTGACTGCGGCTGCTGCAACGATGTGGCTGTGAGCCCCAACCTTCAACTCTTCTATGGCGTGGTATGTATCCTGTATGTCCTGTCCTCTTTAGCAGAGTTCCTTGCTGCTGGCATGGACGGTCCGGACATGATGCTGGCCTGCGTGACCATGTCGTGTCTCTTTGTGATCATGGTGCTCTGGATCCTGATGCTCGCCTCCCGCTGCTGTGCGCCCTGCTGCTGCCGAGAGGCGGTACCGGATGTCCCGCCTACGTGCCCACCGGGCCCTTGCCAGACGTCAAACCCGAAGTGCCTCGATTACCCTTTCATGATCGGAATGGGAGGGGAGGTGATCACAGAAGGCACTCGCCGCGTGGTCTTGCCTGCCTGCCTCTACACCAACTTCATTCGAGGCGAATGGGACTTCAGTGCATTGCAGCTTTGCCGCCTTCTCTGGATGACCTTGCTCATCTTGGGTACCTTCACTTCCCTCAAGAAGTACCAGCTCATGAGGAAGATGGCGCTGCACAGAATCTGAGCTCCTGTTAGTTACGGAGTTTAGTTTTAGTTACTACAACCTGGATCTACAGTATCTAACATGTTTTCCTTGCTATGGTAGATTAGTTCCGTAAACCTAAGCCCTTAAAGGAGCCCTTATTATAGAATCCCTAAAGGGAGCCCCAGGCTATGGTAGTTAGGAACCGTAAGTCATGGCAACCACCCCAAACCCTAAACCCTAAACCTGAAGTATGCTTAAGCTCCTTGACAAGAGCCCTAGCTATAGCTATCGAATCATAGAGCCCTCTTAGTTCCCTTTGAAGGAACCCTGGCTACAGGGTTATAGAGTCCTAATGCTTCCCTTTAGCCCTAAACCCCAAACCCCAAACCCTAAACCCCTAAACCTCTAAACCCCTAGCCCCTAAACCGCTAAACCCTAAGCCCTAAACCCCCTAAACCCCTAAACCCTACCCCCTAAACCCCTAAACCCTTTAGCTCCTTGACACAGAGCCCAGGAATGGATCCTTCCAGTCCAAAGGATCCATGCAGCCCCTGCTCTGTGGTGCTCGGGGATCCCTGCAGCTCATCTTTAAGAGTACTCTAAGGGTTCCTTTAAGGGTTCCTTTAAGGGTTCCTTTCTATGAGGATACTATCAGGGCACTAGAGGGATACTTGGAAGCAGATTATTTTATTTTTATTTTTTGAATTTTCGGTTCTCTAAATCCTTAAGAAGCAGCTAAACATGTACGTTTTGGTGGCCAGAATCTTCAAGACACAACTAAAGTATGAGTTCTCGTTTATCAAATCCTGCAGAAATCGCTAGACGTATGGGTTTTGCCATCATACCAAGTTCAGCCTAGGCAGTCCGTGCTCCATAGTGGTCGGATCGCCGGTGGCAGTGAAGGAGGGACTTGAATCGCAGCCTGAGGAACGTCGGGTGGGGTTTAGGGTTTAGGATTGAGGGTATGCGGTTTAGGCTGTAGGGCTTAGGCTTGAGGGTATAGAAGGGTTGAGGGTGTAGGGTTTGGAGGTTTTAAGGTTTAGGGAGGTGCCACCGAATGTCAAAGCATGTGCGACGCTTCTCCATTCATCCTGGGAGGGGTCGCCTGCCTGGGCTTCGGAGTACCATACTTTAATCCTTTTTTTGGAACCTGTTACTCAGTGGGAACCAAATTGAAATACAAGTCTGTAGTTTTTCTGCCTGGTCGCTTCAAAGTCCAGTTGTAGACCGTAGATTGTGGCTTGGTGCACAGATCTCAGGGTTCCCAGAGAGCGCAATGCTCCTTAATTAAGCAATATACCTTAAACTAAAAGGGGCTTCATATTATTATTTAAGCTATATTTCTTAAGTTTGGGGTATTGGGCTCTCTGGGTTCAGGGTTCGTAAAGATTATGCGTAGTATATGATTCCCTAGGCCTCCTTAGTATCATTATGGTTCCCTGCTCTGTATTATAATGATACCATAGGAGCATCTCCTCTAAACCCTAAGCCCTAAACCCTAAACCCCTGTATTCGTGCTCAGACGGGCTTTCAGCCCTTGAGCGCCGCGCCCGCCACAACATCTCCAGGATGTCTTTGCGATCTCGGAAACCGAGACGCACAGCCCACACAGGACCTGGTCCGGTTAGGGTCTAAGTTTCAGGTTTTGGGTGTTGTAAGCTTAAGGGTCTGGAATTTCCAGCACCTGAACGTAATGTAAGGCCCCATATTATAGAATATAGAACCCTATTATAGATCCCTTATAGAACCCTTTAAAGGAACCCTTGAAAGCAGCCCCATTCTAGCTGCATTAAAGCCCTCCGTCATGAATGCCGGCTTCCTGTGTGAATCCCGGGGGCAAAGGATCCTCTGGGCCGTTTCACGAGCAAGACACAAAGCCGACATGGCTCTCGTTGCGAAATCTGGATTTCGAGTTTCGGGGCTAGTTTGTTCTTTTGAGTATCGTGACCCTAAACCCTAAACCCTTTGGGGTTGTCGGTCTTGGGCTTTGTTGTTTTCGGGTTTAGGTTTGTAGGGTTTGCCTGCTTTTGCATTTGGCTTCGAAGGTTTCCGAGTTTGTCAGTTTGCTGCCGGGTTACGGGTCGTCTCATGGTAATGCAAAGCCCGGAAGAATTAGCAATACTGTTCCATATTATAGCTTATAGCTGTAGCATGATGGCCGATACACCCCAAGCCCCAACCCACCGAAGCCTTTTTGTGTTCCCTGATATGGCTTATAGCGCTGTAGCATGATATCCCTAAACCCTAAACCCTAAACCCTAAACCCTAAACCCCAAAACCCTATACCCCAAGCCCAAGCCCACTGAGGCCTTCTCGTGCTGTGACTAAGAAGTTGCTAAACTTCTCATCTGAGTCGCGAAATCTTACGCGTGGGTGTCCCAACCTGCAGAATTTCCGTGTACAGCTTCTCGATGACTGAGGGTCTAGGGTTTAGGGTTTAGGATTTAGGGTGTAGGGGTCGTTGAAGTTTGTTTCGATGCTTCAAGTATAGAGGGAATCTTCACGAAGCTCAGTTGAACGTGTAGCTCAAAGTTAAGCTGAGAGGTTCACGAATGCACAAGTCATCTCAGGCTTCGTCGGTACCAGACTGATGTCTGCTGCACGCCAAATCCCATTCTAAGTATCAAGGCCCCTATCTTACTGAGATGGGCTTGAAGATTAGGGATTTGTGGGTTTACGAGGGTTGAAGGGTTTAGGATTTGGGGCTTGGATTTAGGATTTCGGAGGTTTACGTGGGAAGTCTTAAGTTGCAAGGCAGGGGCATTGAATTTTTGTACGACATTTGACCAGAGGGACGAAGCTTTCACCCCTGCAGGTTTCGGGTCTAAGGCTTTCTGCTGCTTTTCTCGTTGTTGCCAGTTGTATGCACAAGAACAAACGCAAACTCGAAACTGGTCCCTGGTCAGGTTCGGAATTGGTGAGCAGGTCGTGGCAGTAGTCGTGCAAACGCAAACCCTTCTGAAAGCACGAAGCGTGCAGAGACGAGTCGGTGGATGGTGGCAAAGAAGCTTCATACTTGTAGGATGCATCGTTTCTTCTCTGGCTCGGGGTGGAAAGTGTTACAGAAACCTGCCTATGCAGCCAACTATGACAAATGGAGGCTTTTGGGACGGACAGCCCGCACAGTGGGTCGATCCCACAAAAACCCCTCAAGCCTAAGCCCAGGCTTCCTTCCCCTTAACCGGCAGCTCTTCCGCCCTTCAGCCAGAGACCCCAAAACCCTTTAATTGAGGAATATACCCTAAATCATAACAAGAATCCTAACCCTAAAGCCTGAACCCCTAAACCCTAAACCCTCAATGATAAGAGCTCCCGTAAATATTAAGGGCAAGAGTCCCCTTAATGGCAAAGAACTACCCAGAAACCCTTGTAGAAACCCTATAGAAACACTTATAGATCACTTTTCTGGGCAAAGCAGGTACCGAGCTGACGTACCGCATGCCCTTCGAGGAGCTACACTTTTGGGGGCTTCAGGTGTTTTGATCATTCTTGCGGTCTGGGGTCTAGGGTTTAGGGTTGGGGTTTCAGGGTTTTTGAGGGTGTTTGAGGGGTTCTAAGAGTGCTGGGGCTTGTTTGGGGCTTTCAGGGTTTGTTGCACTTGGGTTGTTCAAGGATTTGTTGGGGGTTTCGGAGCGTTTATGTTTCAGGGTTCAGGGCTTTCGGGTTTTAGAGTTGTTGGGTGTTGGGATGTTAGGGCTTCAGGGCTTTATAGACGTTATAATAAGAACCTACAAAAAAGTAGGTATTGGTATCCAGGCCTTCCAATATCCCTTATACAGCTTAACCATTATTCGGGATCCTACTGACTAGTTTAAGGTTATAATCCTTAATTGAAGGATTTTGGAAGGTTTTGGCAAGGCAAAGAATTATATACTGTACCCATATAGTACCCTTATAGAAACCTGTTGAGATGTGTCTTTCGATTTAATTAGATGTGAGTGATAACGATGCATAACTGCAGCCTCTGGCTAGCGGTGGTCCGGAGGACCAGAGTTGGCAGCTGCCATGATCGGCAGAAGCCAGCATGTCACGCAGATAGCATGTGCAGTACAGAGTACACAGTTGCTAGATCAAGCATTGCTTGTTGTGACGGAAAAATCAACCTGAGTTGTGAGCCCATGTTCTTTGCTGTGCTTCGGTGACTCTGAACTGGCTTTGACATGGCGAACTTATTTGATGACGATAACCCGAATGGGCTAGATGTGCCCGTAACGGAACAACAGGTTATGAGTGGCCCAAGCGCTGCTAACGCGGATACCTCTGCACAGGTCGCCACTGAGGCGATGGTGAATGGTGTCAACCCGAGGGGGTCAGGGCACCAGGACATGGACGGTGAGACCGTCGCGCCGCCAACTCTGACGACTGCAGGGCGGGTCGGGTCTGACTTGCTTCTTCCTCGCCGAGGTGTGGATGGAAATGAGCAAACCGCGACTCTTGGAGATGTGACTCCGAGAATCCCTGCTCCGGATTTCCAAGAGTTTGGTGAGAGAAGGTCGATGGACGACCGACTTCTGCGAAGCGAGCAACGAGTTCAAGGACCCGGTATATTGAATGGTATGAGAAGGGCTGTTCAATCATTGCCGGCGATGGTGGATGGTATTGTTGGCGGCTCGATGTCGGCTGGCAGACCTCAAGGGTCCCCTTCTGCATGGGATGGTGTGGAATATGCGTCAGTGAGATCTCAAGCGAGCGTGGAAAGCAGGAAGCCTCCACCACCAGAGCACCCTGCTCCTAGGGCGCCTTTGCTGGATAATGAGACGTTGCAGCAGCTCAATGATCTCCAAGCAGCAGCACCACATCTATATTCCCCGGTAAGGGAGGTACCACCACCGATGACGGTGGCGTCAACGACGTCGAGTGACATCCAGGCTGAAGTCAGAAGGCAACTCTCGGAAGTTATGCTACTACATGACATGGAGACTACAAGACTGCGTGAACAGATGGAATACTTAGCAGCTGAGAACTTGAGTCTGAGGCAGAGGGTAGCAGTAGGTTATAGGACTGATGTACAGCATGAAACCCGGGCCTCGGTGAGTCAGGGAGGTACATCTGGATTTGGTTGGTTGGGGAAAAGTATAGGTTCGCTCTTAGGGGGTGGTCAGCATGCAAGGGCCTCGCGTTCCTTGGATTCGGGAACTCCTCCTCCTCCTCCGCCACCATTGCCACCACCTCAGAATCCTCACCTACCAGCCTTCGGTGGAGACTCGAGTCCTCTTCGGATCTGTGCTCCTGCATCAAAGGACCCTGCGGCCCCTAAGGCAGGACTCAATTCCAGTGCGACAAGGGCTGTAACCTTTGGTGTCACCGGGAGTGCTACTACTGCACCGGTGCCTGATGGAGCAAGCCTATCTACAACGCAGTTGAATCAAGATGTCACATTGCAGCAGCCCTCCCAGGTCCCTCAGGATGTCGGAGCTGCAAGAGCCGCGCAAACCTTGGAAGGTCAAGCAGGCATTTCAGCCCCTTCAGGGTCAGCCCCAGGACTAGACGTAGACCCTTTAAGCGTCGTGTTAACAGGCATGGCACAGTTGCAAGGGCTGGTTTCAGAGCTAGCCAGTTCCCCGAAGGCAAACGACAGGGAACGACCGGAGGTCATTAAGCCCGGAGTAACAACACTCCCGGACCTTCCACAGCCGGGACCGGAGGCCTGTCTCCAGTTCGCGGATTGGATCCATAATTCCCGACCCTCACTTAGCGACATCAGTGACACGAGTGAAGAGCTATGGGAATGCACCCTGCAGGAGGCCGGGATTTGGTACAGTAAATACCTGCAGTTGGATCCTTTGGGACGTCTGACCTCTAAGCCATCCCCTTCGGAAACCCTGTGTAAACCTAAATGGGCGAGGGTCTCCAGGAGGATTGAAACCATGATACTAAATTCTCTCCCAGGAGGAGTTAAGGAGGAGGTAAGCGCCTCTAGAGTCAGTGGGCTCCTGCAGGTAATGTGCAAACTGTACACGATATACGCCCCAGGGAGCCTCAGCGAGCGCGAAATAGGTCTGCGTAGCATTTCGGACCCTCCGGCTTGTACGGGTATCCCAGAAACAGTGGAGGCGCTGCGAAAATGGAAGCGCTGGACCGTTCGCATGACGGAGCTCGGGGGAGTATTACCCGATGCAGCACTTCAGGTTAAGGCGTTAAATAAGATCTGCAAGCAGGCCCTGGCGTCCCACCCGGACGTAGCGTTTAGAGTGAACCTAGTGCGCCACACGCTGCAGATAGACAGTACGCCAGATGACCTGAAGGTTGGGAAGTTGCACGCCCAATTGCTTAGTGAGTTCGAAATGTTGAATCATAAGACACCTAAGGACCTTGACAAGGATAGGCAGCGTGAACCTGGTGGTAATGCACAGCCCCCCAAGATAAAGGGTGTTGAGTCTCAGGAGCCTGCGCCACCGGCGCCGGCACCCCCTAAGGCGCCGAGAGGCCCCAAGGGGCCACCACCTAAGTCAACGCCAGCCTCCAAGGCGCCTGGCGAGGGCCAACCGCCTACAAGGCCACAGTGTACTTTCTACTTGAGCCCGTCGGGATGTAAGAAGGGATCCGACTGCACTTATGAGCATAGCTGGAGCTCCATCCCGGCAGGGGAAAGGGCGCAGCGCTGTAAGAACTGCGGTGGAAAGGGGCATCGAGCAGCCGAGTGTAGGGCAGGTGCCAAGTTAGAAGAGAAGGCGGGGGGTAAGTCGACTCCCAAGCCTAAGTCGTATCCAAAGGGACAGGGAGAGGGAGTACCACCGGCCCCAATACCACCTTCGTCAGGGCCCAGCGCCCAACAGCAGCAGATTAAGTCCATGTTGGCAGATGCAGCCCTAATCCTTCAGCAAACGATCCCTAATGCGCAACCACCAACCTTGCAGACGTCGACTGCCTCAGCAGTTCCTATTCAGCCTGGAGCCAGCCCACCAAGTGCAACAACGCCACCTATGACAAGTGTGGCAGCCACTGCCCCAGTTCCTGCCACAACTCAGGGCACACCTGTGACGTTGGCTTCCTTGAGCGCACAGTTGGAGGGAATTAGGTCAATGGCAAGGGACTTCGAGGTTAAGACAGTGACTGTTGCAAAGCAGGTGTTGAAGAATGCAAATGAAGATGTGAAGGCCTTGCTGGATAGCGGGGCTACGCATGCAGTGGTAGGGTACTCCAGCGATATGCGGAATCTGGAACCCGTACCGGTAACCCTGGCGGGTGATTCCAGAACCGAATGGCTTAAGACAGCAGGAGGCACGTTGGTCGTGCCCGAAGACCTCTCCATGGGTAGTTCCAAACCCCAAACCATCCTACCGTTGGGAGCACTGGTTGAGTCATTAGGGTGCTCGGTTTCGTGGTCGAAGCGGGCGGGGTTGAGAGTTGTACACCCTGTGATGGGTCCCCTTAAGACTGGCATCTCTAAGAACACATGCCCTTACGTGCAAGAGTCCCAGGCGCTAGCTTTGATTCGTGAACTCGAGGACGTCAGGTTGAAGAAGTTCGAGGAGAACGTCCAGGATCTGGAATGCCATCTCCAAACCCTAAGCACTCCCATGAACCCGACTACAGCTGTTCGCGAGTTCATAAAGACGGGCCAGAGGGCGGATGCTTTGAGAGCAGTCTTTACACAGCCATACCTCGCCACCCTGCCGGAGGAGATGAAGGTTCCCCTGGCAGAACACATAGGTGATACCACTGATGATACTGGCAGGCGACTCTTAAAGAGGCTGCCACTAAAGAGGGCTCGCCGGCGAAGTCTCCTTTCATCCTCTCACTGGATAGTGCAGTTGTGTTGTGGCCCAGAGATGAGGGATGATCCTTTGAAGGAGTGGGCCCAGAGCCATGAGTGTGAACTGCTTAAGGTGGACGTGCTAGCCTCAGGAGGAAAGGGCTGGGACTTGTCCCGTTCGGCTGGGGTCTGGTCTGTGCTATTGTGGGCAGCGGCCTCCGGGAGAATCGCGGGTGTCTTGTCAGCACCGCCTAAGCAGGCATTTGAAACTGGATCACCACTCGCGATCCAAGACATGTTCTTGTGGACAGTAGCATCTGTTGCTAGAGGCAAGGGTGTCCCCTACTTTAGAAGCTCCAACCTTCCAGTCGGGAGCGTAGGCCTAAGAAGGTCCTGGGAGGTGTGGTCTAGAATGGATAGCATCCCAATGTGCCAACCTGGGAAGGAATTTATCCAGCTAGTGCCAACATCTGTGATCACCAATCTAGAGTTGCATCATCTGGCTCGACAACCGGTCGAGTACATGGCCAACGGAGTTAGGTCACAGGCCACCCGATCCCAGAACCGATGGTCCAAACAGCTTTGCCAGGAGCTGGTCCGAGCTTTGACGGGCCAAGTCCCAATGCCAGCCTGTGAGGAGCTTGATAAGGCCATTACCGCAGGTTTGAACAGGGGCAACTCCTTGGAAGGGCAATCTTCCTCAGATGATGATGATAGAGCAGAGTCCGGTCACCAGGACATGAGCTCCGAAGCC